GAGGGTGAACCAACGGCAAAAGGAAGACCTTTCTCTCTGTCTCTCTCTCTCTCACTGTCCACTCTGCCTGTCAAAAAAAAAAAAAAAAGAGGAGAATATGGAGACAGGTGGTGATGGAGTCAGAGACTGGGGTGACATTGCCAGAAGCCAAGGAACATTTGAGGCCCCCAGGAGCTGGGAGGGGCAGGCAGTGCCCTACCACCTTCTTGATTTCCATCCGTGGCCTTCAGAACTGTGGGGGGACAGATTTCTGCATTTGGAGTCCGCCGCCTTGGGGCCCTGTGTTACCGCGGTCTCAGGAAGTGGCTCCAGCTCCTTCAGGTTATGACCATTCACTCCTGAATGTGCTTGGAATCTCAACAGAACAAACAGGCCAAAAAGGAGCTCTTGTATGAGGTTTCCTACAGGGGCTGCCTGTGCAAGTCAGAGACGGCAGAGACAGGTGGGCAGGGGACACAGGCGTGCACCACTGAGAGAAATGGCCAACGAGGACAGCCAGGGAGATGCAAGCAGCTAAGAGAGTAGGGTGTACGAGGCCTGGGAATCAACAGGTGCAAGAGCTTTGGAAAGGGAGGGAGATCTGGAATGCAGGGCAGGCCATGCTTGTGGTCCAACTAGTTAAGGCAGGAGGCAGAAGCTTGGCCCTGTGTGTGGGATCCCACCGACACAGAGAGGGGTCAGATGTCCCCAGAAGCTGCACCATGTGGACGGAGGACACAGGATACGTTGTCAGTGCCCTTTCCACTCCCTCCATGGCGGGGGGAGATGCACCTGCCGCAAGGGATCTGCTGTGTAGACCAGGATGATTGTGGGAACCGATTCCTTGATTGAAAACCTCTGTGGCTAGAATCGTTCAGCTGCTGACTGTGGCAGCAGCAGGTTTGAGATCCACAGCCTGTATCCCCGGGTGACAGTGTGTTCCAGCACCCCGGAAACATGGCAGTGGGAGTGTGGGCTCTCATGTCTCAGGGTTGGTTGGGCTGCCAGTGCAAGAGTGGCGCCATTGGCCCCACTGGGGTTGGATGGGCCATTTCCAACGGAAAGGACAAAGCTAAGCAAAGACTGAGGGTTCGCGTCTGAATTTGTCAGGATGTGGGGCACCCGAGTGGGTTCCCATGCAGATCGGCGACTGGGGAGTCTACCCCTGACCCAGCACAGTTTCGTCGTCAGTTCACAGACAGAGATTTTTAAGTCTGGCATTTGCTGGCACTCGCTTGGCATGACCTCAAGGGAGAATCAGCTCTGTGTCTTCCAATCTGTCTCACTTCTATTCTTTTGACCACAGTATGACTATTTAAGACTTCATTTTTCTTCTCCCACCTAGAAAGCCACATTACTCAGGTAATTTTTAAAAACTTATACACTTTTTAAATTCATTTTTACTTGAGAGGCAGACACACAGAGACACAGAGAGATAGCTGCCACCTGTTGGTTCATTCCCCAGATGCCACACCAGCTGGGGATGGACCGTGCCAGAGACAGGAGCCAGGATTCAATCTGGGTCTCTTCTATGGGTGACAGGGACCCAAGCAGAGGAGCTGCCATCTGCTGCCTTTGAGGGTGTCATTAGCAGGAAGCCGGGTTGGGAGCAGAGCTGGGACTGAACCAGCCACTCCCATATGGCATGCAGCTATCCCACGAGGCATCCTGACCACTGCACCAAACACTCTCCCCTACCCAGGCTCATCTTAACATGAAATGGACAGACGGAGTTATGCAAAAAATAAAATGCCTCTGAAGCAAAAGTCTTCATATGACACAAGGTCTCCACATCCCAGGTTAATGAATACGTAGAACCATCTGGGAAGACAGAATCTCTCTTAAAAAAATAATACTGTGGGATCTGGCATTGTGGCATAGTTGGTTGGGCCACTGTCTGCAGTGCCAGCATCTCACATGGGCCCCAGTTCGAGTCCCGGCTGCTCCACTTCCAATTCAGCTCCCTGCTGGTGTGCCTGGGAATGCGGTGGAGGGTGGTCCAAGTCCTTGGGCCCCTGCACCCACATGGGGGTCCCCATGGAGGCTCCTGGCTCCTGGCTTTGGACTGGCCTACCTCTGGCTGTTGTGGCTGTTTGGAGAGTGAACCAGCAGAGGAGGACTTCTCTCTCTGCCTCTGCCTCTCCCTCTCCCTCTCTGTGGCTCCACCTTTCAAATAAACAAATTAGAAAACAATACTGGGAACTGATCAATGGGCTTAGTACAATGTCACATCAAGTAACATCAACAATGTGTCCACGGTGGTCATTGTGATTGCAGAGAGACTCAATTTAAAACAGTGTGCACACATGTGGTTATATGAATTAAAAGCCACCATGTCACAAAAGCCCAGGACACAGAAGAGACCTAAGTAGAAAGAAGCCGAACAAACACGCCTGGAGCGTGCCTGTGGCAAGACTGCGGGGCAGGAAGGACCCACAGGTTAGGTCCTCGCCTTGGGAGGCTGGCCCAAAGACGTAAGAGCTGGAGCCTCCACTTTCCCAGCTGTGAAATGGGGAGAACAAGGCTCCCCTGCAGGTTGTTGGGACAGAGTGCTCTGCACGGGGTGTGGCACAGCAAGGAGAGCAGGTGGGAGAACAGCCCGGCCACAGCAGGCAGGACGGCGACAAGCGGCAGAGGCTCAACGTGAGGTGTACACCAAGGGCCTTCACAGCCACCCTGAAAGACGAGAAGTGACAACGAGAGCAAGGAGTGAGTTCAACAGATCTGTGGGAGGAAAACCGTCACCTACCGGGAGTCAGGCACAAGTAACACAAACTCTGAATGCTATGATAACCCCTTTCAATGACCAATAATGGGAGAAAGATGATCAAAACAAGAAGTCAATTCTCTCAGTTGACTAGGAATATCCACGAATTCCTGATGGAAATGCAAATTGTTTGTTTATTTTGGCAGGTAATTTGGTAATTGTTGTCAAGAGCCATAACATGCTACACTGTGATCTTCCAGTTCTGGTCTCCAGAATAAAATAATTTCAAGTAAGAAAAAGCTATTTTTTTTTTTCGTTTAAAATTTGTGAGGTGCACTTGACAGTAGGCTGGCAACTTTATTTTTTTAAAAAAGATTTACTCGTTTATTTGAAAATCAGAGTTGAGAGAGAGAGAAAGAGAGAGAGAGACGAATGGACAGAGAGAGATCTTCCATCTGCTGGCTCACTCCCCTAATGGCCGTAAAGTCAGGGTTGCGCTAGGCTGAAAGCCCGAACCTGGAATTCCACTCAGTCTCCCATGTGGGAGGCAGGGGCCCAAGCACTCGGGTCATCTTAGCAGGGAGCTGGATCAGAAATGGAGCAGCTAGAACTCGAACTGGAACTCTAATATGGGATGCCAGTGTTGCAAGCTGCAGCTCAACACACTATATCACAATGCCAGAAAACTATTCTTATAAGGCATGTGGGTAGGGTTATGAGAATAAAGACTTAGCATGCATAATACAGGAGCGGTTGCTTTGTCATAGAATGCTAACTCTATAGCACATTATGTGGTAATTATAATGCACACAAAATGTTCAGCAGAGTACAATATATGAAAATAATTAATTATGAATCCTATAAAATAGCATATATATATGGATAAGAATGAGATACAGCTAGAGATGAATGTAATTTGTTTTATAGGATACGGGATTTTGCATATGACTCTGTATTACTTCATAAATAGATTAAATACAAGTGCACTTCAGACATTTGTAAAAAATAGAATTAGGGGCTGGTGCTGTGGCGTAGTAGGTAAAGCCGCCTCCTGCAGTGCTGGCGTCCCATATGGGTGCCATTTCATGTCTCAGCTGCTCCACTTCTGATCCAGCTCTCTGCTACGGCCTGGGAAAGCAGTGAAGATGGCCCAAGTCCTTGTGCCCCTGCACCCACGTGGGAGACCTGGAAGAAGCTCCTGGCTCCTGGCTTTGGATTGGCGCAGCTCTGGCCATTGTGGTCGGTTGGGGAGTGAACTAGCAGGAAGACCTCTCTCTCTCTGCTTCTCCTTCTCTCTCTGTGAAATTATGACTTTCAAATAAATAAATAAATCTTTTAAAAAAATAGAATTAAAAGAGTAGTTAGTTTTGGTGCAAAATATTTTTGAAATCCGAGAATAGTCTTTTCATAATACCTGCCTTCCATGAAAATTTTGGAGGCCACTTACACATGAAATGAATGATTATGATTTCTCCAAGCCCCACATGTGCATCTACAAGTGTCTCATGCTTCATTTGGTGCCGACTTCCTCTCCCATGAGGGCACGGGAGTCCATTTTGGGGATTGAATCAAGACACAAACTGGCCATGTTCTCTTTGGGACATTTTCTGACTCAATTCAGAAACACCAGCTAAGTCTATATGTTCTCTTTAAGGAAAACTTTATTCCTCAATTTTTTCAAAAGGTTTTTTATTTATTTATTTGACAGATAGAGTTACAGACAGGGAGAGAGAGAGACAGAGAGAAAGGTCTTCCTTCCGTTGGTTCACCCCCAAAACGGCCGCAGCGGCCAGAGCTGTGCTGATCCGAAGCCAGGAGCCAGGCACTTCCTCCTGGTCTCCCATGTGGGTGCAGGGCCCAAGCACTTGGGCCATCCTCCACTGCCTTCCCGGGCCACAGCAGAGAGCTGGACTGGAAGAGGAGCAGTCGGGACAGAACCCGGCGCCCATATGGGATGCCGGCGCTGCAGGCGGAGGATTAACCTAGTGTGCCACGGCGGCACTGGCCCCATTCCTCAAGTTTTGTCCTTGGTTCCCTAACGCCCTTGTTACCGTTGCTGTAGGAGCTTGAATCTTCACTGCTAAATCTCTTCCTGTCACTCTTACGATCTCACCGAGCTGCAAGAGCAATGAGAGTTTTCACTGAGAACCAAAAGACATCAGAACAGCACCAAACATCCAAAAACAGGATTGTGCAAGCTGGATCAAGCCAAATCGGCAAGTTCAGTTCTGTGCCTGCTGGGTGGCTCCTGAGGATCGGGCCCTCCCTGTGCGTGGGCGGAGGAGCTCCTTCTGCCCCTGGGGTCTGGTGACACACGGCGGCCTGGGAGCTTTGTTCTCAGAATCCACTGGTCATCAAAAGGCCGCCACACAAATGCAGCAGGGGGGACGGCCCCTGGCTTAGCTGTGACCCAGCTGTGAGCTCTTCTGTCACGGGAAAAACTCCGGGCAGGCGGTTGCTTTCTGCGTGTGGAATGTCAGCCGGCCCTGCCTTGGCCTGCCCTTCCTGGAATCTGGTCCGTCTTTCCCATCAACTCTGTTTTCCATTTCTTCCCAGACCACCTTCCTCCAACTGATCTCCAGGACAGTGTGCACCTGCACGACTTGCTTTCATACCTACTACGGTAATCTTCACCCTACGAATAGCCATGCCCCGGCTTGGGGTACCTGTATAAGGTGCCTCTGAACAGGATGCATGCATGTGCTTGGCTCCTGGGCCCTCAGGGGGTCTTGCGGGTGGCTTTTGGAGAGACTTAAGGGGTCTACAGATCCCCTAGCCTGCGCGGGCTGCTGCCTCTCTGTAGCGGTGCCTCTCCCTGGCTTCCTTAGGGGTTTGCGCCACCTGCGAGGGCCTCCAGCCCCTTGAAGTGATTGGTTCCGGTTTTGGCGCCTCACCTCGTAGGCCGGCAGGATCTGAAGGGAAGTCTGCTGGGAACTTACGGGAAAGAGAGTTCTCACTGGTGCGGTGACAGGTGAGAGGGAGCCCTCATCTTCATCAAATGGATGCCTGGAGTGCATTCAGCCCTTCCAGCTCCGGAGGCCCCCGGCTAAGGGGATCGTGCAGGCAGAGCAGGAAGCCCTGTGGGAGCACCTGGGCCCGCATCCTTGGACAGAATTCCACCTTCATCTGCTGTGATGACTCGACCTCCGGTTACTGTTCACCCCATTCTGTTTCTGCAGGCGACACAGAGTGAGTTCAGAGTTTTCATTTGACGATCACAGGGGTCCAAGGCACCACCTCCCTAAAGGTTAAGGATGTCTGCAGAAGGGGTTCAGTTAGATGCTGATTCACTGGTTGATTGACAGAGCACACAGAACCCCTGGAACGTTGTTCCTCTGAGTGATGCAGGCACCATGCCTGGGAACCTGCTGGGTTTGCTTAGAGGAGGTTGTCTAATAGGTGTGCTGTTCCTCCACTCAAGCCCACTGCTAGGCACTGCCAGGCGGGGGAGAGCTTAGGCCCAGCAGGGGTCCGGGGAGCGCTGTCCTGGGAGAAGCCAAGGGACGACCTCCTCTAGGGCGTGCGGAACAAGCAGACTTCCATGCACACGCCTCCTCTGAGCTGTAGTGTTGAGACCCAGTCTGAAGCTGCGCCTACATTTAACTGCGAGCTGCCTCGATTATTAAAATGCCCCATGCGTGCAAACGGAGGGAATCGTGCAAACGGAGGGAATCGTGCAAACGGAGGGAACCCGTGTCTTCGAGCCAGCTATGTGCTCTCTTGGCTTTTTAGATAAGGAAATGCAGGGAGCCCCTCCAGAACAGACTGTCAGGGGAGGGTTCACTTATCTCATGAGAGGGGCCCAACTCCATCTCTCCAAAATCAGTCCTCTGGGAGCAGGCATTATCTGATGCAGTGGCTAAGCTATCCGTATCGCTTATTGGAGTTCTGGGTTCAAGTCCTGGTGCCTGACTCCTGCTTCCTGCTAGTGTCCAACTTGGAAGACAATAAGTGATGGCTTAAGTGGCTGGGTCCCTGCCACTTGGGAGACCTGGCTTAAGTTCTAAGCTACCAGCTTCCACCTGGACCAGCCCTAGCTGTTATGGGTGTTTGTGGAGTAAACCAGCAGATAGAAGATCTCTCTGTTGGGGCCGGTGCTGTAGTGCAGTGGGTTAATACCCTGGCCTGAAGTGCCGGCCCCTGTATGGGTGCTGGTTTGAGACCCGGCTGCTCCACTTCCCATCCAGCTCTCTGTTATGGCCTGAGAAAGCAGTAGAGGATGGCCCAAGTCCTTGGGCCCCTGCACCCACGTGGGAGACCTGGAAGAAGCTCCTGGCTCCTGGCTCTGGATCAGCGCAGCTCCTGCTGTGGCAGCCAATTGGGAAGTGAACCAGAGAATGGAAGACCTCTCTCTCTCTCTCTCTCTCTCTCTCTCTCTCTCTGCCTCTCCTCTCTGCATAACTCTTTCAAATAAATAAATAAATCTTTAAAAAAAAAAAACCTCTCTGTCTCTTTACTCTCCAAATAAATCGAACATAAATAAATAAAAATTGGATAGAATCTGCCCTCTGAATCTGAGGTCTTATCCTGAGCCAACTCCCACTTTCAACTAGCAACGTCGCCTCGGGGCTATCAGCCGTCAGTTTGGTTAATCCATGCCCACCGTCACGGGATCGGCTTGTTGCTCAGATGGGGCAGACAGACGGTGTGATAGGTGCTTTGGCGGGTGCTGTGAGGGACAGTGACACTTGTGCTCAGGAGCTTTGCCATGACTGTAACACACACGGCGGACAGTAGGGCCTGTGGCCTGGGCCCGCCTGTCTGATGTGGAGTGGATTCCAGAGGACACTGCTAACCTCAATGCGATGTTTGAGGGACAAACACAGGGACTCAAAGTCAAACCCACACAAGCAAGACTGTGGTGCGCCACGGGGCACTGTCGTGGCTTAGTGGGCAAAGCCGCTGCCTGCAACGCGGGCATCCCACATGGGTGCCGGTTTCTGTCCCAGCTACTCTGCTCTCCATGCTGCTTCCTGCTAATGTGCCCGGGAAAGCAGCAGCAGATGGCCCAGGCGCTTGGGAGACCCGGCCAGTGGGAGCCCCTGGATCCCGGCAGCAGGGAGGGGCAGTGGGCCCAGCAGGGTTTCTGGCCGGCTGGGGAAAGGAGAGGGTGTGGCCTGAGCAGGGGCCTGATGGGCTCTGGATGGCCTTCCAGGGTCTTTGCCTCTGTGGGGAGGGGATGCAGGTAGGAATGTGATGGCAGTGGGGTTTCTGGAAGCCCAGGGAGGAGAAGCATGGAGGGGGAGGGGCTGCAGGTGCCAGGCCCACAGGGGGCTCCTGGGAGGGGCCACCAGGAATTCAGGTGAGGGTCTCCTTCACTGCCTTCCTGTCCTCTCCCCTTTCCCAGGTGGGCTGGGAGGGATACATGGGCTTGGGTCACACCCTGGCCTCAGCGGCCTGTGGAGTGCGCGTGGCCCCCTCCCGAGCTGTGTTTCAGGAGCGGGGGTGGGGGCGGGGAGTGGTCACCCGACCCCAGAGGCCCCCGAAGAGGCCGGCTGGTCTCTGCGCTCGGTGGAGAGGCCGGAGGACGCGACCTTCCTCCCGGCCTTTCTGTGGAAGTCCGCAGCCGCGGAACGCACCGCGGCCCTTCGATAAGCCGGCCCGTGCGGAGAAAGCGGTCGGCTTCCTGCGATTGTCCGGGCCGCGGCGCGGAGAGGAAGGGCCTGGCCGGGCCGGGCTGGGCGGCCGCGAAGGGCGGCGGCCCGGGCTATTCTGGGCCGTTATTTTGATCCCGCGGGCCGCTGGCTCAGGTTTCCGAGCCCAGCCTCAGGGCCGCAGAGGGGACGACGAGGCGGACTCCGGGCTGACAGGGAGGGCCCGGGGCTGCCCCGGCCCGGCGCCCCCTCGGCCGCCCTCCTGGGAGGCCTCGCCGTGGACGGAAAGGGTTAGGGCAGCTCCGGGGAGCAGAGGGGGCTCAGGAGAGGGGGCCGAGGGCGGCGGCCCGGGACCCTGCGGCCCCCGCCTCTCCTGTTTTAAGTTCAGATTCGGGTGATTGGTGCTCCTAGCAGGGTTGTGTGACCCCGTGAATGACCACAGGGGTTCCCGAGCCCAGGGAGCGGCGGCACTGGTGCGCCCTGTAGCCGCGGGTCTGTCTCCACTCTCCCTGTGCGTGTCTCTGCCCCCCACTTCCCCCTTTGTTGGGTGAGGAGCCCACCCCAACGGCACTCAGTACTTTCGCAGCAACCCTGCATCTGGCCACATGTGGAGGCCCTGGGGGTTAGGGCTGCAGCATGGGAACTGGGTTGGGGGCTGCCTGCAGCTCAGTGCCGGGCAGATATGTCCATATGGGTTGAGGGGACTCAGCACAGACAGGCAGGAGCAGGGTGTCCCATCCCACCCCGGGGAGATGTCTACTCTGGGTATATTGGAGCAGCCCCTGAAAAATACGGCTTTCAGAACAAGACACACGATGCGCTCCGAGGAGCCCCCTTTCCATCCACTTTGTCCGTGTCCCCGTTGTGTGTTCCCTCGTAGCTGAGTTCACACCACTATGCACTGCAGGCCTGTTGTTGAACTGGCCACGAGTCCTGGGAGTCTCCTGCACTGTCCCTTGTTGATGACACTGACTTCCTTTGGGCCAGTTGTTCGAGCTACAGCCCACCTCCGGCCGGGATTGCTCAGCCCGTTCCTGGGCCCCTGTGTTGCCTGTGAACTGGACTCAGCATTGACCCTCAGGTGGACTTAAACCCTCTCTGTCGGAAAACACTTCTACCTCCTGCCTCTGGAAGACAGCAGGACATCTGGTCCACACACAGCAGGCCCTGGGTGAGCGGATGGCCTCAAATGTCGCTGGCAACTGAGGATTTTTCAACTTGAAAGTTTCCAGCAGTAGAGACAGGTTTTTTGGGGGCCCTGGGGGTGTTGGGAGCAGAACACAGCTGAGTATGCAGAGCTGCCCTCTGAGGATCACACAGACCCCAGCCAAAAGTTCCAGGAGGCCCTGTCCTTGACCTCCAGCCCTGGTCTGCTAATGCGGCACCATGGACCTGTGCGCCCCCCACCCCCCAGAACACCTGTTTGCAAGAAGGACCAGGGCTTTTTGTCTACAACATTTTATATGTGTGTATTTACTGGTTTTTGAACAAGTGAATATCCTATTACCCAAGTCTCTATTAAGATGTAGACCTTCCCTTCCCATAAAATTCCCTTGTGCCCCTGCCTAGCGATCTCTGACCACCACTGCCTGGAGTTTTTCCTCCACCACAGATTATTTTGCTCAGGTAAATGGAATCAGCAGCATGTCTTTTCCGCAGTGTAGCTTTGGGTTTTATGTACAGAGGTGCCGGTATCAGCAATTTGTCACCTTTTACTCCAAGTACATACAGTGTTTGTTTTCATTCTCCTATGGATGGACACTGGCTGTTTCCAATTCTTTGCTATTATGCATAAAGCTCCATGAATATTTTTGTGCAAGTTATTTAAATTTTTTGATTTTTTTCATTTTGTTTGAAAGGCAGGCACACAGAGACACAGACACAGACAAAGGTCTTCCATCCATTGGTTTACTCCTGAATGCCCACAACAGACGGAGTTGGGCCAGACCAAAGCCAGGAACCTGGAACTAAGTCTTCCACACAGCAGCAGGGCCCCGAGCATATGTGTCATCTCCTGCTGCCTCCCAGAGTGCGCATTCGCAGGAAGCTGGATTGGAAGCAGAGCCAGGACTTCAATCCCAGGCACTGATATGTGAGATGTGGGCATCCCAGGTTGTATGTCAACCTCTGTGCCAGACGCCTGCCCTTGCACGGGTAATTTTGCACACAAATGTTTTATTTCTCTTGGATGCATTTCTCGAGTGAAATCAGTGGGTCATAGGGTAAAGTGGTTGAGGAATTTTACTTTCCCCTCAAAAAAGTCTAAGAGTGGTGCCTTATCCACGTTTACCACTCTGAGTGTGGTATATTACAGTCTGCTTCCAACTTGCTTGTGCCTGATGATTTATGAAAATGAGAACTTTTTTGCATGCTTCTTGGCCATTTGTATGTACTGCTTAGTGACCATAAAATTTAAAATTAATTTTTGTCTCTTTTCCCTAATAGGCTGGGTATGTGGTGTTGAACTTACGACTCAGCACGAGCTGAGTTTCTCCTTCTTCCTTCAGGGAAGAGTGTGTAAGGTGCAGAGGGACAGGAAGCACCCCCGCGAGGAAGAGGCAAAGCCAGCTTTCCCTCTCCTGCTCTGAGCTCCGCTCTCCCGGATTCTGGTAGGAACTGTCCTTAGCCGGGTGTTGGGGACCGCGCGTGTGGTGCCCTCTGAGTGGTGCATCAATGGGTGGGCGGGGTTGGAGGTAGGGAGAAGGCAGAAAAGACCCCTTGAACCAAGGGCTCACCGATGGGGCTGGCTGGGGACGGATCCTTGTCCACTCTAGAGCTTCCTTTCAGTTCCCAGGAGAGCAGCACCTGTCGCGGCTCAGCTCAGGCCCCTGGAGCCAGCTCAGGTGGCTTACAAGGACACAACCCAGGAGCACCAGGGAACTGAAGTAGGCAGGCATTCAGGTTAAAATCGACTGGGTCTGTGAGCTGGAAGACCACGACTTTGCCACACCCCTGTGTGACCTCACACCCTACCTGATACCTTCACCACGCCCCTGTGTGACTGCATGACCCTACCTGGCCACACCTGAGTGCCCACCCCCCAATCAGGTTAATTAACTACTCCCCTTTGGAAGTGGGTTAAAAGCCTGGGACACGGTGTGTCCCAGCCCTTCTCTCTTCTCTGGGCTTCTTGCCAGGAGGGGGCTTGCTGCTGCCCTGCACCTCCAGGGTGCGTGGCCTTCAGGCCATGTGCTCCAGGCTTCCTGGCCTAGATGCTCCTCCATGTGGCTTGTTCCTGGTGCTCAGTATGAACCCAGATTTACCTCTGTCTCAAACAAAGCTCTCATTCTCCCATGCATCTTTCGCACCAAATAAATGCCTAAAATGTACCATGCTGCCTCGTTTATTTATGCTGGTATTTAGAATTCTTCTCTAAATATTAGGCAAGAACCCTCTTAAGCTTATTAATATTGGGAATTTATTAATAAGCATATGGTGATGTCACATGGCACCCCAAATTTCGATAGCATATGTGGCACCCCAGATGGGACTTCTGGGGAACTCGAAGGGGCTACATTTCATATAGATTTTGGGGGGTCATTTCCGATATCAGAACCAGGAGCCCAGGCCCCGTCTAGCTCAGCCTCTTTGTTCCACTCTGGCTGCCGTGGCCCCCTCACGGCCGTTCATCTCGCTGCTGGAGGACGTTGCAACTCTGCAGGGCTGTAAGCTGCCTGGAAATCTGCTAGGAACCCTGGGATTGGGCCACAGAAAAGAAACCAGGAAAAGAAGGGAAAACTAGCCGAATTTGGAAAAGGGACAGAGGCAGGAGTGAAGGAAAAGGGGGGAGGGAGGACCTTCCAGGCAGTTGCTGAAGGGGAGGCTGGCGGCCAGCCCCAACTCCCTCCCCAACCCCCAACTCCTGCCTCTGGGCCTCCTGCCCTTGAGGGGTTTGTGTGGAAGCAAAGCCGATGGGTCTCTGTCCGCTGGCACAAAATAAATGATCAACAAATGGGCAGCAGCCGCGCGGGACGCCAGAGTTCCCAAGGCTGGCCTGGTCCAGCCTCCGCCCAGGCTCAGCTGTGGCAGTTATCTGGGGAGTAAACCCATGGGCGGGAGCTGCCTCTTCCTTGCTCCCACTCCAGTTTTTTTCTCTCTGTGCCTGCCTTTCAAATAAATAAAGTAAACAAATAAAAATCATTTTCACAAAGGAACTTGTAATGCAAGGAGGTTTCTTGCAGGCACCTTTGTCTTGCAAAGTGGGAGCCCACGATCCAGACTCATTGGCCACCACTCGCTGCTCCACCAGGCGCAAGGACATCCAGCCAGGACTCTGGTGCCCCAGTAGCACCGCCAGTCTTCCCAGGAGGACAGGACGGGAGCCCCTCGGTGTGAAAGCCCCAGTGTGGGGTCCTAGCTCCTGCGCCGGGCCTCTGGGGTCTGCCCGCACCAGTGCCGAAAGGGATTAGAGCAAGAAGAAGAAAAGCCGTCTGCGGGATCAGAAAGGAAGGGCGGACAAAGCAGGCCCTCCGTGCCTGCCATGGCAAGCGCGCCTCCAGCAGAGCGGGCTGTGAGAAAGTGCCCGCGCCCGGCAGCGGGGCGAGCCTGGGAGCGCGGGGGCTGGCGCGCGGCGCCCCGGTCCCGCTCGGGCCTCGCGCATTCCCAGGCCCTGGAGGCCAACCTTGGGGCGCGTCCCACTTCCTCTCTCCTGGAGAAAAGCCTTGGCCCAGCGAGGGAGGCAGGAACCACACGCCCCGGGAGCTCCCCCAGCCCAGAGCTGGGGGGTGGTGGGGAGGCATTCGGAGATGCAGAGCCGGACGGAGAACTTAGGTGGCCCGGATATCCGATCTTGGTCAGGATTCTGGCTCAGGGTGGGCTCTCACACTGCCCGGGAGGGAGAAGGACCAGAGAGATGGGAACAGAGGAGGCTTCTGCGCTGTCCCCATGCGCCAAGCGCTGCTCAGATGGGTTTTGGGGATGGATGCAGGAGAGGGAGGAGAGGCGGTTGCCCCCAGCACCAAGAGATGGTGCAGCTCTGAGGATGGGTGTGCGGGCTCCTGTGACTTGAGCGCCAAGGACTGTGCTGTGTGCACGCAGCCTTGAGTGCCGTTGAAATATCACACACACTGGACCTTGGGTGTTCGCCCCAGCCATTAGCTCAGGCGTGGATTTTGTCCTCTGGCGAAGTGAGCCTGATCCTGCTTCCACTGACTCCCCCGGGAGGCCAGGTGGTGGGTGCTGGGGAGAGCTGGTGCCTGGGGGTCACTAGCACTGGCCTCACGGTTGAATGGCAGCACGACCTTGGCCAAGCTCAGGTCTCTGAACAGTGGTTTCCTCTGTTACAAGACAGCAGCAGGGCCTGCCGTGCAGGACTGCCGTGGGCGTTATGACAATCTCTCCAGAGTGCCCGAGCTTCCTGTGGGCCTCCAGCCGCCAGGCCGGCCTGCACATGGGTGCACGTGTCAGTCCCGTGGTGCTCTTCGTGCCACCTCATGCCTGTACCCCTTTCCCCTCCCTGGGACAGCACAAGAGAAAGTAAGAATGCGCATGAGCCCCAGAGCCCCAGACCTGGGGCGACAGAGCCATGACCATGGCCAGGGACAAGCGTGGGAGCCGGCACGGCAGAAACACAGACCCAGGAAGCCCCTGCTTCCTGCCCTGGCCAAGGGCACCAGAAGCAGAGCCCTCCTAACACCACCTGCTTCTGGAGAGAGGCAGGAGAGCCCGCTGGGTTCCTGGGGGGAAGTGTGAACCAGCCTCTCCCCGTATTGCTCCAAGCCAAGGACAAACGCCATTCCTCATGCATGTGGAGAGAGGAATTCATTGTGTGGCTTTGAAGGGAAGATCACAGCCTTCACGTGACTGGACACTGGACGTAACCAGTCAGGGCTCATCTGTGATCACGGTGCGGAGGCCCCGCCCCTGCTTGACATCTGTGCTTCCCGGGGAAACCGGTGTTTGCCCAATCGCTGACTATCGACCCGGTCTGAACAAAACAGGAGGTTGTGAGCGCTCCCAGGAGTGGAAGACAGGAAGGAAACACAGGCGGGCCTGGCGGGGATGGGTTTGCGAACTCGAGCAGGGCATATGTCTCCGACCGGGGAGCTGACCTGGTTGATGTTTGCACCCATAAAATGCTGAGGAAACAGACTTCAAAGTGGCTAAAATAAGAACTTCCTGGTATTCTAGTGGCACTGGCGTGGCAGGTGTGTGGTGTGGGGCACCGGTTCAGCTGGATGCCTGGGTCTTCTCAGCCTGTGGTGGAGACGCTGGCCAGCAGTCTGACACACACACAGTGCTGGCAACAGCACCATTCCCAGGGGAACACAACTGATCAAGGGTGGACTCATCCCCGGGATCTCAATGGCCCATGGGAGGGGTTTCAGCACGTTCCTGGAGCGGGGCAGTGAAGACACGGCTTGGGATGCCCGCATCCCATAGCAGAGTGCCAGAGTTCAAGTCCCGGCTCTGCCTCTGCTTGCAGGTCTCTACAGGTGATTGTTCAAGTGCTTGGGTCCCTGTCACCCACGAGTTCTGGCTCCTGGCTCTGGCCTGGCCCAGTTTGGCTGTTGTGGGCATTTGGGGAGTGAACCAGTGGGTGGGGGATATCCATGTCTCTCTCTGCCTTTCGATAAATGAAATAAAAAATTCTGGAAAATGCATACCATGGAAAGGTATACATTGGTTTCAGATTTTTTGTGCAAAATGAATTTACCTTTTATTTCATTTTTCTTTTAATTTTGAAGTACTCTTGTATTATGAACTTATTTGGGATTTTAGGATATGGTGGATAGATTTTTATTCTTTTATGAAAAAGATTAATTTATTTACTTGAAAGGGAGAGTGACACAGAGGGGGAAATGGAGGGAAAGAGAGAGAGAGAGAGAGAGATCTTCCATCTGCTGGTTTACTCTGCAAATGGTGGCAATAGCCAAGCCTGGCCTGGCCGCAGCCGGAAGCCAGGCATCCTTCCTGGCCTCCCACATGAGTGCCAGGACTCAAGTACTTGGGCCGTCCTGTTCTGCCTTCCTAGGTGCACTAGCAAGAAGCTGTGCTGGAAGTGGAGCAGCCCATTTGAACCGCAGGCAGAGATAATGGGACGCTGACATTGCCAGTGGCAGCTTAACCTGCACCACAAAGCCGGCCTCTGGATTTCTTCTTGCTTACTTTATATTTCTATTACGTTTTTGTTTGTTTGCTACAGGTGCCTGCTAGGGAAAGGTCAAGATTCAGGCATAGAGTATTAAGCGGCTGTTTTTTGTTTTTACAAAATGTCTTGTTTCATCTTTACAATTCCTTCTTCCCATTTTTCAGACAAGAAACTGAGGCTCAAAGACGGTACTGGAAGATCAACATCACTGGGAAGGAGTGGTGGGGCTTAAATGTCCAGCCTGGCCGTGACCTGGGTCCCAAGGCAATGGTTTTACGTGTCACCTCACAGTCAGTCTCTGGACTTCAGTCGGTCTAGAATATTCTGTACATCCACATGACACTCTTCCTCTTTTTTTTTTTTTGACAGGCAGAGTGGACAGTGAGAGAGAGAGACAGAGAGAAAGGTTTTCCTGAGCCGTTGGTTCACCCTCCAATGACCGCCGCGGCTGGCGCGCTGCAGCGGGTGCACCACGCTGATCCGAAGGCAGGAGCCAGGTGCTTCTCCTGGTCTCCCATGGGGTGCAGGGCCCAAGCACTTGGGCCATCCTCCACTGCACTCCCTGGCCACAGCAGAGAGCTGGCTTGGAAGAGGGGCAACCGGGACAGAATCCGGCGCCCCAACCGGGACTAGAACCCGGTGTGCCGGTGCCGCAAGGCGGAGGATTAGCCTAGTGAGCCGCGGCGCCGGCCTCTCTTCCTCTTTTTAACTGTATTCTACCAAGGTACCCCCAACCCTCCAGTGTTACTGTTCACTTGCTTTACGGCGCGGTTGGGAGCCGATGTTGGGATTCAGGTTTTAATTGCTCCTTGGGAAGAGTGCAGTGTTTGATCTCACAGTGAGAAGGTGCTTCCAGCTCCCCGTGCTCATGTGCTCCTGTGCATCTCCACGTGTGTGTTACTTCTCTGAGCAGCATGGCAGCCCCAGGAAGCGGGTCCTGGCTGTGGCGGGAGCGGAGGCGGCCTGCACTTGTGAGCCACTGCACGGATGCTGGCAGATTGCCCCAGGCAAGGCACGGTTTAGCGGGGCCTTCCGTCCCCTCGGGGAGCTGTGCTGGTGTTCGTGCGTAGTCGACCTTTGCTGTGTGGGTGGCATGACTGGCGCTCGAGCATGTCCAGAAGACAACCTGTGCCTTCCCAGGGAAGCGTTTAGACAACGTGGAGGTTTGGGTCACAGTTGCTGGGCTCTGACTTGAAGGGCAAAGTCACCTTGGCGGTGCAGCCCACTGTGCCCAGCA